GTTCCATGGAGACCTCACTGCCTCATCCATTGTAATTCTGTGCAAAGCTGGAGAGTAATCAGATCCAACTCAGCTCAAAAGGTGCCCATTAAGTGGCAAATGTGACTTGCATTTTCTCTGGGCAATTAAGAAGAGAGGCTGTGATCCGAAGCTCGGACTAATGTGCCTCTGGAAAACACTACGCCGAAACAGTTATGAATAATGAAAAGAGCTGTAAATAACAGCGCGTTTCTGCCACTAAGTAGCTAATTTGCAAAATGGCTAGCCAACGTTATTCAATTTAGCTTCAGCAGTCCCTTGCCATGAGTAATTGAACAGGTTCCTTTGACTTTAGAAGTTCTAGCAAGTGTAGTCACCGTTTCGGTAATGCTCCTTTTTAAACTTCATCCCCACCCTCATCCTCAGCTTTCCAAAATTAACGCTTGTGGGAACGCAATGATTCTAAGCTGATAATATGCTTAATTCCACCCCCAGCTCTGTCTGCTCTTCTCCTATAGAAATGGAAATAATGTTTCCAGGAAATTCACATCCGAAGTTCTGTTTCACAGGAATAATTGTGCCCAATTAAACAATTCTTTCTTACATACTTTATTATACCCTATTTCCATCTCAAAGCTAATTGAAAAATGGCAGCTGTTAATAAAAACCTACTTATTTTTTAAGTTAAGTTAGTCCTCTTCTAATAGTTTTAGGTTGAATATGCATTCCTAAGGGGACTTGTTATAATATGTTTGCCTAGTATCAGTCACTGTTGGGCATGACTATTGCTAAGCCAGGGGAAGTTTAAATTAGAAATGATGAGTTGGGGGTTATAGTTGAGGTTAAGGATTCATTCAGGAGGAGTAAAGAGAGAGCAAGATAACAGAGGACTGCAGCTGGACCATTGGGTAGATGTAATGGTATGGGGGAAAGTCCTTGGGAGACAGGTCAAAGAGATGCTTCCTAGGCAAGGATGGGCTGCTGCGGGTTCGGGAGAACCTCTAGCTAAAATTCTGTGCAGTTCGGAAAACCCCCAAATCCCATTCCTGGGTGGCCTTGCCAATCTCACCCCGGCCCTCCCAGGAGTCTGCACGTGGCCTGTTTTGGATACAGGTAAGTGCAGGGTGCTTGTGGAGGCTCGGGGAGGGCAAAAAACGGGCCTACTGGAAGTTCAATAAGGCCAGAAACGGGCCCGTTTCTGGCCTCCAGAGGGCCTCCGGCGCCTGGGGAGGCTGTTTTTGTCCTCCCTGAGGCTCGAGGAAAGCCTCTGGAGCCCGGGGAAGGCAACCCCCCCCCTGTACTGCAGGAGGCCGACTACACCACATCCACCATGGCCACGCCCACCCAGCAACCGGGCAGAGAACCCCTTGCTAAAATTTTTGAAGCCCACCCCTGTTCCTAGGGAATAGTCAGATAAGAGACAATCCACAGCTGGATAATGGGTGATGCAAAAGGCTTAGGGTTTCTTGGACTGTAAAGGAGATGTCAGGAGAATTGTACTGTCAGACTTGCAAAATTCGATTAATGTAGCTTTACAATAAAGTAGAATTGGCTTATCTTTTTGTGCTTCTTGTCTGGTCTGACAACCTGGCAAGGCTGACAATAGTCTTGCAATCTTCTTGACTGTAGCTACCATGAGCCTTTTTGTGTATTTGATCTGTCTTATAAAGAAGGGGTGCTCTCTGAGCTCAGTTGTCCTCTTGCAGATGTTTCTTATCAAGTTAGGTAACATCATCACTGCAAGTAACGATGTTTTTTTTTTTTATTTGATTTATATGCCGCCCTTCTCCGGAGACTCAGTGCGGCTTACAATGTGCTCAGCAATAGCCTTCATCCTTTTGTATATTTATACAAAGTCAGCTTATTGCCCCCACAACTGGGTCCTCAATTTACCTACCTTAGAAAGGATGGAAGGCTGAGTCAACCTTGAGCCTTGGCGAGATTCAAACCTGCAGTAATTGCAGGCAGCTGGTCTTAATAACAGGGTGCTTTAGACCACTGTACTACCAAGGCTCTTGGTAGGACTTGTTGCATAGTTTGGGGTAATGAAACATCTGCAAGAAAACAACCAAGCTCAGAGAGCACCAAAGACCCCTCATTTCAATCCCGAGCTACCAACGTCCTCCTTGATTGCCTTACAAACTTTTGACAATACAGCTATAACTCTACGTGGGAGAGTTTTGCCACAAAAGTAACAGAAATGGCCATTCTTTTCCTTCTCTGCCATAAAAAAAAAAATCTCATTATTCCCTCTCATATAACTGCAATTAAATATGCATGTTCATGGTCTCTCAAAAATTCTTCCTCGCCATCAGGAGAATTTGTATGAAAAATTAATTAGGGTAGAGAAATGTCTGTTGGATGGATATTCTTGTTTGCAAAGTTGTGCAAAAATTTTCTTCCCTGTATCCTCAGTGCAGCTGCGTCTATTCCCAAATGGTAGTGCTGGTTTCAGAGGTGGTATTCAGCCAGTTTGGACCAGTTCACCTGAACTGGTAGAGGAAATCGTGGGTGGATATAGCAGACTGTCATGTTACAGTGACATTGATATCCTCTGCAACTGGCATGGCTTGTGACATATCCTTTGATTGGCCGGGAACCCTAAATTCTGTGAAAAGTAGCCCCTGAGACACACATTTATAATATCAGGGTAAAGAATCGTCTTTTTTTGACAGACAATATTCTTCCTTCTCTATTCTTTTTACTGACAGCTCAAATTAATTTTCTCCTAACGATCAGAGACTTCTGTCCAGTTTCAAAGATGAGTTGATGAAAGATAGCACCATAGTTCCAGGACAGATTTCAAATTAAGTGTATCATTTCAAATTAAATGTAGCCACCATTCTCAGGATCAGGGGTCAGCAACCTGTGGCTCTGGAGCCGCATGTGGCTCTTTCATCCCTCTGCTGCGACTCCCTGTTGCTGGTCAGCTCCACAATTGATAGGGCTTTTGGTTAGGACAGGCAGAGAAAAAAGGACACCATGCTAGGAGGAGACTCAATGGTGGGAGAACCAGACTTCCGGTTGGCTCCAGAATTGAATGAGGGCTTCCAATTAGGACCTTTGTGGTTCTTTGAGTGTTTAAGGTTGCTGACCCCTGCTCAGGATCATTATTATGTCTATTGTTGACTACTGTAACTGTTATCTCTCTGGTAAGCAAACACGTTTAATGGTATTTAAAATATCTCAGCTTATGTGTATTTTTGTTTGTCCCGTATATATCAAGTGACCTTCAAGTTGAACCTGAAACCTGGTGACTACATAGATGTAACCACACATTTTACTTGGCAGCTATTGGAAAGTGATTTAACACTTCCATTAATCCCAGGATCATGTCTTGACTTCCACAAATATGGGATTTCCTGGTGGTATCTCATATTTATACTAAGCACCCTCTGATCCTGTTTAGCTTGTTGAGATCAGACAAGGTCATATTTGAGTACGGCATATGTAAAAATGAATATAAGGATAACAATCTTCAGACGTTATTCTGAAAGCAGTAAATCGAATGTCCTGTTCATAAGTGAGAAACCGATGCTGAGTTCCCAAGTTTCCAGCCATAACGTTTCTTCAACTCAGATCACCTGGTTTGTAGACTGAAGTCTACATGTCACTGCTTATGTCATGTCACTGCTTATATGATGAAGTCATATTGTATGCTATCACTGCATCATACAAGGACCTCTGGTGGCGCAGGGGTTAGAATGCAGTATTTTCATTTTTTTTTTTCATTTTATTAGATTTCTATACCGCCCTACTCCTGAAGGACTCAGGGCGGTGCACAGCCAAACAATAAAAACACATACATACAAAATTTAAAAATAGAATAAAATCAGATTAAATAATTTTGGCCCCGACAAATTTAAAACCCCAAACTTTTAAAACCAATTTAAAATTGAATGTATAAAATACTAAAAGATATTTAAAAATTAAAAATCTTTTATAAAAGAGGGGGAAAATTAGGCCAGGCCCGCCTGGTGAAATAGTAAGGTCTTTAAGGTGTGGCGGAAGGTGCGCAGATCCGGGATCCTCCGTATCTCTGGGGGGAGCTCGTTCCAGATAGTAGGTGCCCCCACAGAGAAGGCTCTCCCCCTGGGGGCCACCAGTCGGCATTGTTTGGCTGACGGCACCCAGAGGAGCCCCTCTCTATGGGAGCGTACCGGCCGGTGGGAGGCTATTGGTGGTAGTAGGCGGTCCCACAAGTACCCGGGTCCTAAGCCATGGAGCGCTTTAAAGATGGTAACCAGAACCTTGCAGGCAAAATATTGCAGGCAAACTCTGCCCACAGCCTGGAGTTCGTTCCTGACCAACTCAAGGTTGACTCAGCCTTCCATCCTTTCAAGGTCGGTAAAATGAAGACCTAGATTGTTGGGGGCAATATGCTGACCCTGTAAACCACTTAGAGAGGGTTGTAAAGCACTGTGAAGCGGTATATAAGTCTAACTCAGGGGTCAGCAACCCGCGGCTCTGGAGCCGCATGTGGCTCTTTCATCCCACTGCTGTGACTCCCTGTTGCTGGTCAGCTCCACAATTGATAGGGGTTTCAGTTAGGATAGGTAGAGGAAAAAGGATGCCATGCTAGGAGGAGACTCTTTGGTGGGGGAACCGACTTCCGGTCAGCAGAGGAAAAAGGACGCCACGCTAGGAGGAGACTCTATGGTGGGGGAACTGGGCTCCAGAATTGAACGGGGGCTTCCAGTTAGGACCTTTGTAGTTCTTTGAGTGTTTAAGGTTGCTGACCCCTGGTCTAACTGCTATTGCTGTAATAGTATGTTGGCCTTCTTTAAAGTTATGTCCCACTGAATAGTCATATTTGGTTTGCAATGAGTTGCTATTCCATTTTTTTTTTTTTTTAAAAAGTATTGTTACCTATTCAGATATTCCTCATCTTATTCCTCATCTGTTCCTTTACATTTGATTTCAATTTACGAGTTATGTGAGGATGTCACGTCATTGCTTATATGAGCCCTTCCTACCATTTTTTTGGCTAATATTTTCGTGCATCTTGGTTCTCGCTCTAGGAAACTATGGCGAAAGTGGGATGGAAGCTTTCAAAGACATGTCAGCTAAAGAAGGGATCTGCATCGCTCATTCTTACAAGATTTACAGCAATGCCGGAGAACAGAGTTTTGATAAATTGTTGGAAAAGCTCAGGAGCCATTTACCCAAAGCAAGAGTTGTTGCGTGTTTCTGCGAAGGGATGACTGTGCGAGGACTGCTGATGGCGATGAGACGCTTGGGGCTGACCAGTGAATTTTTACTGCTGGGCAGGTGAGTAAATCTATCAAAAATCTGTAGTTGTTGCCGTCTTTTTTTATAAACAGAATAAATCCTTCAGTATTTAGATTGGAGCTGCATCCTGGTTAAAGATATCTTGGTTAATTAACATCAGGAGGACATTAATCCATTACAGGTAGTTCTCGACTTTCAACCATTTGTTTAGCGACCGTTTGAAGTTACAACGGGCAGTCAAAAAAGTGACCTATGACATTACTGTGTTTTATTGCTCTGTTTAATTTAGTTAGTTGTGTCAATGCTAATAAGGGTTTATCACCATGCAGAGCTGGTGCATGGTGAATTTGCCAACTGGTGCATGGTGAATTTGCCAGATGGGAAGACACTGAAGAGTCCATCATATTGTTTACTGGGAACTTGTAGGAGTAGAAGAAGCAGAGTTTGGGGGTGGAATCAAGCAAGTAATCAGCCTAGAATCGTTACGTTCCCATAAGCAATGCAAGTCCAAGCCCTCTAGAATTCCTTTAACTCTTGTCTGGTGTCAATTTAATGCTGACCGTTAGTTGACTAAATTCTTGTGTGATAAAATCTAGTGGAAAATAAAGTAAATAGCAAAATGTTCAAGCTAAACCTGATCAGTCTAACTCTTTGTATTTATATCACTTTGGTATGTGTTCACAAATGTATATCACTGTAAAGGTTTGTCCTCTTTTTTTAATGATGAAGAACTTTTTTTTTTTTAATTTGATTTATATGCCGCCCTTCTCCGGAGACTCAGGGCGGCTTACAGTGCGTTAAGCAATAGCCTTCATACTTTTGTATATTTATACAAAGTCAGCTTATTGCCCCCACAAACTGTGTCCTCATTTAACCTACCTTAGAAAGGATGGAAGGCTGAGTCAACCTTGAGCCTGGCGAGATTCGAACCTGCAGTAATTGCAGGCAGCTGTGTTAATAACAGGGTGCTTTAAACCACTGTTCTACCAAGGCTCTTAGCTTGGCTTTTGCAATTTAGATGTGCTTATCATTGATATTCAAGGTACTCATGTAGGTATAAACTTCCAATGGTCCTGACAACATTTACCATAATGCTCATCTGTTTCCCTGTCTCACCTGGTTTTATTTTCTGGAAGATGTTTTTTTTTTTAAGCTTCTTTTAATTAAAATGAAAAAAATAGATACTGTACTGTGTTGCAAAGCAAATCCCTGGTTTCAAATGTAATTTCTGAGTATAGTGAAACCTTGAATTAATGGAGTATTCGGGAGGGGGGTGGGAGAGATGCCTGTTAAATCTTAAGTGCCTGTTTAACCTGCATTAAATGTAATTGATGTAATTTACATCGGTGTTATTTGTGGAATTATGCAGATTAGGTAAAAGGATGCCAATAATCTAAAAACATCACGTATGTCATTACTTGAATGGCATAAATGGGAGGTGGCGCTCCCATGTAACACCTCTCCTGCGCGAGCTGCACTGGCTCCCGGTAGTCTTCCGGGTGCGCTTTAAGGCATTGGTTCTCATCTTTAAAGCGCTCCATGGCTTTGCGCCAGGGTACTTACGAGACCGCCTGCTGCTACCGATAACCTCCCACCGGCCAATATGCTCTCACAGAGAGGGCCTCCTCAGGGTGCCGTCGGTCAAGCAATGTCGGCTGGCGGCCCCCAGGGGGAGAGCCTTCTCTGTGGGAGCACCCGCCCTGTGGAATGAGGTACCTCCTGGAATATGATTGATCCCGGACCTCCGGACCTTCTGTAAGGCCCTGAAGACTTATTTATTCCAGCAAGCCGGCCTAGCCTAAAGGTTTTTTTTTAATTTTATAGACTTGGGGTTTTAAATTGGGAGGGTGATTGATTTAATCTCTTTTAATTATCTTAACTTTTGTATTGTATGTATTTTAATTTTGGCTGTTCACCGCCCTGAGTCCCTTTTGGGAGAAGGGCGGTATACAAATTAAATTAATAAATAAATAATAAATGTCATTAATTGTCTCAACTTCAGTCAAAGACGATCTGTATTTATAAGTCAAGGACCACCTGTACTTCTTTACAAATCTGAATATCAGCAGGCTCAGGCGTACCCTATCATTTACAGAACTGATAACCAATTGGACAGAAGTTTGATGTGCCCAGGGGTGGGCTTCAAAAATTTTAGCAAGGGGTTCTCTGCCCAGTTGTTGGGTGGGCGTGGCCATGGTAGGCGTGGCTTAGTCGGCCTTTTGTTTTTGCCCTCCCCGGGCTCCGGAGTCTTTCCTTGAGCCTCTGGGAGGGTGAAAACAGTCTCCCCGGGCTCCGGAGGCCATCTGGAGGCCGCAAACAGGCCTGTTTCTAGCCTTTCTGAATTTCCAGTAGACCTGTTTTTCATCCTCCCCGAGCCTCCACGTGTGCCCTACACTTACCTGCATCCAAAACGGGCATAGGGACTCCTGAGAGGGACAGGGTGGGGTGGGCCAGCCAGGAGTGGGATTTGGGGGTTCTCCGAACTGCACAGAATCTTAGCTAGAGGTTCTTCCGAACCCCTGCAAACCCCCAGCAGCCCACCCCTGGATGTGCCCCCAAATAACAACAGATGAAAAGCAGTCATGGAGAAGGATTATATCTTCTTAGAACTATCAGGTAAAGTCCCTTGAAGAAGGCAAATAGTAGTAAGTAGTAGCAGCAGCAGTAGTAAGAAGTAGTAGAGATACTACTTTTAGAAGTAGTAACTGTGAGATGAATCTTGGACTCCTAGTGGACAATCACTTAAATATGAGCCAGCACTGTGCTGCAGCTGCCAACAAAGCCAACAGAGTCCCTAGGCTGCATTAATAGAAAGATGGAATCAAGATCATGTAAAGTGTTAGTAGCATTTGATAAGCACACTTGGAATATTGCATCCAGTTTTGGGTGCCATAATATAAAAAAGGATATTGAGACTTTAGAAAGAGTGCAGATGATTAGGGGACTGCAGGCTAAAACATATGAAGAACGGTTGCAGGAACTGGGTATGTCTAGTTTGATGAAAAGAAGGACTAGGGGTGACATGATAGCAGTGCTCCAATATCTCAGGGGCGGCCACAAAGAAGAGGGAGTCAAGCTCTTCTCCAAAGCACCTGAAGGCAGGACAAGAAACAATGGATGGAAACTAATCAAGGAGAGAAACAACCTGGAATTAAGGAGAAACTTCCTAACAGTGAGGACAATTAACCAGTGGAACAGAAGTTGCCTTCAGATGTTGTGGGTGCTCCATCACTGGAGGTTTTCAAGAAGATATTGAACACCCCTTTGTCTGGAATTGTATAGGGTCTCCTCCTAGAAGACCTCCAAGGTCCCTTCCAACTCTATTATTCTGTTGTGTTTTTATTTTATTCTAAACATTTGGCTCAGCCCAATATAGTTGCTCTCTGCATTCTTAAATAGCAAATAGCAATTCACCAACTTGACTCTGCAGGGAAGAGTCACTTCCAGGCCTTCAACCAAGAAAAGCATCTATTTTTTTTCCCCCCCATTTCATTGAAGTCCTTGGTGAAACCAAGGACAAAAAGATACAGAGGGCAAAAATTCTTACTCTCCATTGTGTGTCTTTTGAGTCCTACTGACGGCATTGTATGATGCTTTACGGTTAAAAAACTATAAGCAGTCACATTCCTGAAGGCTTTGCTGCATCTTCCATGCTCCGCTGAGTTAATAATATATCTGCTCTGCTGTCTCTTGTGCCAAAGGCGATCTGAAAACCTATTTTATTCTGTATCAGGAAGATAACTAGAATGTGGCTTGGGCACCATCAGTTCATAGAACAGTGAAGTGGAACCCCAGAATTATGGAGGAAATCACGTTCAATCATCATCACCGCTACCAGCATCCACACAAGCTTCTCTCCACAATTTATATGAGCTGAGCATTAATCGTTCCATACTTCAGCAAAAAAAAAAAAATTACATGTCCAACTAATCAATAGCTAATTGAACAGGTTTTATTTCAGCAACAGAGACAGAAGTATATTTCCCACCCTAATTGAAGACCAGAAGATGACCTTAAGGAAAGAAGTGGTCACGTATTGGCCAAGTAGTCCATTTAATGATAGGAGGGACAGTCAAGAATTGTAGTAAGCAGTGCAATGGTGTGTAGAAGGGATGCAATAGGGAACAAGATCCTTCTGGGTTTCCTGTTTAAAGATGTGTATCGGTGGTGGGTTGCCCCCGGTTCGGACTGGTTCACAAGAACCGGTAGTAAAACCGGGGGGAGACCCCACCCATCACCCCAGATGTCGTCATCGGCGATCTGCGCATGTGCAGAAGCAAGGTGCACGTGCGAGCAAAGCGAGGGCGCGCGCACGATCCCGTTGTGAACCAGTAGTAAAGGTAAGTAGAACCCACTCCTGGTGTGTATGTATATACAGGCGGTCCTCGCTTACCAACTACTTGTTCAGTGATCTTTTGGAGTTATGATGGTGCTGAAAAAGGAGACTTACAACCGATCCTTGAAGTTACAGCTTTTGCAACATCTCTATGATCACGTGATCGCAATTCCCACACTTGGCAATCATTTACAATGGTCCCAATGTTACATGGTCCTGTGATCATCATTTATGACCTTCGGGGTTTGCTTCCAACCTGTAAATCAATGGGAAAAGCTGGCAGGAAGTTGCTAGTTGCAATTATGTGAAGTTCATGATCATAGCCAGAACGGATATTGTTTGATCACACAACGTTGGGCTTAATGATCACGGCACTTAGCAATAGAGATTTTGGTCCCAACTGTGGTTGGAAAATGAAGACATGTTAGTTGTGAAGTTGTGTCCGACCCATTGCGACCCATGGACAACGTTCCTCCAGGCTTTTCTGTCCTCTACCATTCTCTGGAGTCCATTTAATCTCACGCCGACTGCTTCAGTGACTCCATCCAGCCACCTCGTTCTCTGCCATCCCCTTCTTCTTTTGCCCTCAGACTTTCCCAGCATTAGGCTCTTCTCCAGTGAGTCTTTCCTTCTCATTAGGTGGCCAAAGTATTTGAGTTTCCTCTTCAGGATCTGGCCTTCTAAAGAGCAGTCTTTAAATCAG